CGGTGTCACATATCTTGCAAATTCGCCTGCCGATTTGCTGGTGTGAACCAGGCCTTTTTCAACGCAAGCAATAAAATTTTTCACGCACTACAGAATAACACTACTGTGATGTTCCTGTTGTTCGGGGGGTCACAAAAAAGAGTTTAGACACTACAGTTGTCCGCAAACATAATTAAAATTTCAGATGAGATAGTAACTGCTCACAGAAGTCTTTTTCACTAACTTTTTGCTAAAATTGGAGGTCGGTCCTCTGAGCACAAAAAAAAAATATAACAAAAGAAAACCTGCGTTTTACTTGCTTTTTCATTGGTGTAGAAGGAAACTCTGAACAATGGCCATGCTTTTTTGCCTTATTCAGAGATGGCACCGCCAGCAAATAGAGACAATTAACGCCGAGCGGCCTGGGTGCCTAGCATATTTTCTACTCCTGGTGCCATCTCTGGACAGGGCACAGAAGCACAGCAGTCGTTTAGCGTCTCTCCGTTGTGCCGTCGAAAAAAACAAGTGAAACACTTTTTTTTCCTCTCTTGTTTTCTTAATACTCCAAGTTCAGACTTTCAATTTTAGCATGAAAATGTTACCCATTTTGTTATGTGATCTGTCAGGTTTCTTATATTTTTGCAGATTCTTTTAGTGCAAACTCTTTTTTGTTACACCCTGTATACACAAATGAAACAAGTTTGGTTTGCACAAGCAATGAGTGATCTTATCACTATAATCATTACTTTCGCTTACAAATTGTGAAAGGGTCCCTCCTGCGAGTCCACAAGGGTAACGACGTAATTGAACCGAGTCATTCTGGATAACCTGATTCTTGTTAAAACATATAGATACTACTCACAATTGCCAGGGCCAAGTAGCACAACCCGTCGCCTGATAGATATGTTCCTCTCAGCCCGGGAGTGTTGCAGTAGCCATAAGATGTAACTACACTGTAAAAAATAACCGTATAATTTACGGCCTATTACACGCAATAACTACTGTCACTGCGCCGCAAAAATATATTAACTAAAATAGACCGTAAAAATGGTGGGCGCCACAAGAGAACAAGGAAGAAAGCGAGAAAGAAAAAGAAAAGAAATAGAAAGAAAGCGAGAAAGAAAGAAAGAGAGAGAAAGGTAGCAAAAAAACAACACCCGGAGCGCCCGGAGCATAAAGCACATGAACCAAAAGAAAAAAATGCGCGTCGCTGTCCATGACTCGGTCCACGGCGTCATGGTGTCCACGGCTGGGAGGAGGAAGCCCCATTCGCCCTTTCGCTTCCTACAAATCTTTACAATATGTTATGCTTACTTAGGCGCGCGATGGGGTGAGGGAATAGCGAGAAGGAGAAGGCTCGGCAGAGTCTTTGGGGCGGTCGGGACAAGGCGGGAAAAGAGGTTTCGCAATTGCGAAGTAAACGCCAATCCGTTCGTGTCGACGTTGCTCTCGTCTGGTGTCGCTCTTCTTTCAAAACGTTTGAGCGGGGGATACTGCAAACAAGACCAGGTATTTGGACATCAGTTATACTTGCTACCTTTGTTAATATAGTGCAACTGTGGCATGCCAACTGCCCCTAAAATGTTTACTTGTAGACTTTGTAGTTTTCATTCGAACACGCTAGCAGGTTACGCTAGGCATCTCGAGGACCATAGTTTCGGTTCTCGGGTTATTCCGTGTGTCGACGAAAGGTGCTGTCGTCAGTTTGTAACCTATGCTGCGCTCAGATGCCATATCTTAAGACACCACAGGGGTTTAAAAGCTCAAGAAGGTTGGTCAGCTTCGGAGAGGTTAACGAGCTTTCGGTGTAATTTGTCCACATGCTTGAGCGAATGCCAGACTAAGGCGGCTCTGGTGAAGCACCTAAAAGTTCATATCGCGGATGGAGTTCTGGTTTCGTGTCCTTACTCGAACTGCGAGAAAAGGTTTCGAGTGAAGTCGTCTTTTACGGCGCATTTGAGCCGGGCGCACCCCCGAGTGACGCGTATGGTGGGCGACGACGCGGCGCTTCAAGATCTGCCTCGGGTTCAGGATCTCGCGGCTCCGTCAACCAGTGGAGACAATTATGAAGGGAGTGCGCCTCACCTAATATCTAGCAGTAATAATACCCACGACCTATTGCGGTCTTTGCCTGATGAAGAGAAGGCAGAGTGCGTTGAATATACACTCGCTCTGTTTTACCTGAAGTTACAAGGAAAGCTGCTTTTGCCTGAGTCAACGATACAAAAAATCATCGATGAATTTCAGCACGTACATCTCTTAAATAAACAGTACATGTTCGGCCCGCTTGCTGAGACTCTTCAAAACCTGCTTGGTTCAGATGTTGCTGGCAGCGTTATGTCTGACATTTACGGACGTTATGAGCAAACTTAATTCGACCGTGTTCCGTACACCACACATGCGCTCTGCGTATTTCAGGAAACAATTCCCTTATGTGGAACCCGTTAGCGTGCTCTTGGGACGCAGTCGTGCTAAAAAAGAACGGTTTGCTCAGTACGTCCCGATTAAAGAAACTCTAAAAGTGCTCCTGGAAAACAGATCTGTCAGCCAGGTCTTGAGGGAGCCTCGAAAGGGGTCACGCGCCAATGGTCTTTTGGAAGACTTCTGTGACGGCGCCTCTTATCAGAGGAACGTGCTTTTTACATCTAATAACCCATCACTGCAAATTATGATCTACCAGGACGCTTTTGAAGTGGTCAACCCGTTGGGATCGGCTCGGAAGGTACACAAAGTGGTTGGCGTGTATTTTACGCTCGCTAATTTCGCGAAACATAACCGTTCCACGAGAGATCACCTTCAGTTAGCACTACTTTTTAATGAAAGCGACGTTAGAGCATTCGGTCATGAGAAAATATTTGACTCCCTTATACGGGACCTTGCCGACCTTGAGAAAAATGGACTCGCCCTTAATGGCGTGAATATAAAAGGCACGGTAGCGTGTATTTTGGGTGATAACCTCGGAAGCCATTTCATAGGTGGTTTTATGGAAAACTTTAGCAAGTCACTCTATTTTTGTCGGTATTGTCTGACAACGAGACCTGACTTTCTACGTAGTCCTCTTCAAGTCCAAGAGCTACGCACAATTGATGACTACACTGATGCAATCCAAGACATTGCTGTCTTTGGGATTCCAGTCCGAGGTATAAAAAACAACAGCATTTTCAATGAGCTGCAGTTTTTTCATGTCTGCTTGCCAGCCTTACCTCCTTGTTTGGCACATGATCTATTTGAGGGAATCATTGCAAAAGACCTCTTGTTGTGCATAAGGTACTTTGTCTGTTCGCGTAAGTGGATTTCCTACGCGTACTTAAACAGTCAAATTGCTTCTTTTCCTTACAAATATGGTGATGCTTACAGTAAGCCACCACAGGTGAACGAGAAAGGGGTCAAGCTCTCAGGTGATGCCATTGCAACATGGAATTTGCTGCGCTTTTTTTCTGTGTACGTTGGTCACAAAGTTCAGAATGTAAATGACCCTGTTTGGATTCTTTTTCCAACTCTTCGAAAGATCGTAGATATTGTCACTGCACCAAGCTTGACTGAGGGAACCGTTGCCTACCTTCAAGTGCTAATCGAAGAGTACATAGCCGACAGGCTTCAGCTCTTTCCTCTTGAAGCCTTGATTCCCAAGCACCATTATCTGTTACATTATCCTGGCTTGGTGCTGGCGTTTGGTCCACTGATAAACATGTGGACGATGAGGTTCGAATCGAAGCACTCTTATTTCAAGAACTGTGTGCGACAATTAAAAAACTTCAAGTCCCTCTGCAAGACATTAGCGCAACGGCACCAGATGCTACAAGCTTACTTGCATTCTGAGACGTTTTTCGGTCCCACGGTTAGCTTTAACAACAGCACGCCCTTTGTAATCCAGACATATTGCACTGAGTTGCAAACGTGCATTAGGAGCTTGGGAATAACAATGCTTGGGGCCGTTGTGACCGACGAAGTGGTCTACATGGGAACAGCTTACACCCACGGCATGTTTGTGGCACTTCAATCAAATGATCCGATGTTTGGCGAAATCCTTCAGGGCTTAGTCGTGAATAAGGAGTCTGTGTTTCTTATGCTACGAAAGTATTCAGGAAGGTTCATGTCACAGTTCCACTATTACGAAGTTAGCGAGACGCCTGAGTACCTCTGCATAAGTGTGGCATCTCTAGGGGATTACCTTCCTCTTCCACTTTACAATGTTGATGGAAGGTATATCTTGATTTCCAAGCATTCCATTTTTTTTTTAGAATGGATTCAGTCCAGGAAAAAGTGCTCTGTGTATTAGGCAGCCTAACAGAAGCAGAAATCCTTGGCGTGATGCAAACGCTGCAAAACCTTGGTGTTGAGACGAGCAATGATTTGACCTATGTCAGTGAAGAAGACTTAAAGGGGTGTCTGAAGCCAATTCAAGTTCGAAAACTGCTCGCAAGCTTCCGTGCTGAGGGTAAGCTGTTTCCCGTCTGTTATATTTTTATTGCAAAATATTTATGCAAATTGTGATTAGGTGTTCCTTGTAAACGCGCTGAAACCCATTGGTGTGCGTTGTCAAACTAATATCATTAACGGTTTATAAGAGTATTAGTAACTCACGGAGTTTATCGAAAAATGTTAGTAATGAATGAATTGAGTACAATAAATGTGTTATGCAGAAGCTTAAATGTACATATAATTTCATCACGTGTAACAGATTATTTATTAATTGCGGAGAACATAGCAAAGACACCAGCCATTTTTTTTATTAATTTCTTAACAGCGAAATTGGCATTGCCATATTTGTTTTGTTTAAGCCATGAAAGAAAGCTCTCGTATGCTCGCATCTTTGTACCATCATGCAATAAAAAATTGAGCTTTTTTTTTTTTTTTTTTTTTTTTTTTTTTTTACAGGGGGACTACCTAATACTGCTTTCCACGATACACAAGAACCGCAATCCTGCGATTTTACGCCGTTACCCAGTTCAAGCACAGAGTCACCGACTTCACACCTGGATCCGGAATGGGCGGATAACTTCGATGTGCCATGGACAGAGATGCCTTCAGCCCTGAACACTGCTCTGAAATCCTACAAACGACCAGAACCTAAGCATCGTAGAGAAATGGTCCGAATCATAGTCAAGGCTGCCATGAAGAAATGCAGTCGACCCTTGAAAAAACACCTGGACATAATCGCACGCAAGATAGTCAAGGACCACCCATGTTTCAAAGACGTTATTGATGGGCGCGTCATCGGAACTGGACACGAGTCCCTGCTAAATCAGCTCGTCTCAAGGGTGGAAAACAGCGTTCGCCCAGAAAAGCCATCTGGCTCTCAAAGGGAAGAAAAAAGAAAGAAAAGGCAGTACGGATGCCTAAGCCCGTGCGGACCTGACGAGGCCGATGATATTTTGAAGGAAAAACAAGCTAAGCTCAAGGAACTCTATCAGCATGGAGAAAACCAAAAGTACGATATACTGGATCTTATGGAGAGCACGTACTCACTGCAGAGGGCGAACATTGATTCTGGCGTAATGAACGTGGAGGACCTCAAGGAGGCTTGGCCTTTCCTTTTCCAGCCCTTTGGTTTATTTCAACACTTCAGACGACTTGTGTCCGTTGATATTGAAAGTGCTCTCAACGATTCACTGCCAAGCAAAGCTCAGAAGATAATGGAGTTTATGCAGTACAAGAAACTGGAGAAGAAGAAACTACTTACCGTTCTTCAAGAACGTGCGGGCCATCCCGAAAGTCCGCAAGCAGACATGATGTGTGCAATCCTGCTTCTGGTGACATACTTCGGCGAAAAATTGGAACTGCTACTTCTTCACAGTGAGGTATAAAAATCCCCAGTATATTGCTATAGGATGACCGTTTTTCATTGCATCTTGTTCTTTTATAGAAAGACAAGGCAGCCACCGAAGTGACGCAAGGAGCAACACCTATCTCGCCATGCATCATTGCTCATGGTAAGACTCCATCAGCCGCAATTCAAAAACGTCTTGTCGCTACGGCTTTTGATTATTTTGCGCTTTGTTAGTCTTTTAATGCACTTCTGGGCGCTTCAGACTCGGTAATAGATGTGCAGTTATAGATTACAAATATTTTTTTTCTGTTTGTAGGAGATAGCATTTACATAACGAAAAGTTACTCGCTATCAATCGACGAAACCATCGTCATGGAGGACCTTCACCTCTTTGAAAGATCCCTGGCCTCACTGTTCAGTGCCTACTACGTCTTCAACGTCGCCTACCCGGAGGAGATCTGCGCCACCTTAGAGTTTATTCAGAGGTATTTTGAAATCCTTGGAACCACGCGGCAGCTTTAATATTCAACTGCATTCTTTTCCGCACACTCTGACTAGCACAAACTGCACCAAAAGCCCTAGGCATAGACTAGTCTATTTTTAATCTGATATGTATAATTATCATTTATGCAGCAAAAGCGCCTACAGAAGCTGTGTGCTGGTACTTAGCCTTTGCCAAAGTTCACATTTCAAAATGTTTTAGCGTGAAGATGGAAACCTCAACAAACTAGACAGTCATGGTTTGCACTCATTGTGACTGACTTATTAAGCGTCATATTTAGATAATTTTCTACTATATTGAACACTCCAGCGAACCTTTTTTTCTGCAAAGCAGTACGCGGATTACGTAATATATGTAGTCGAAGACAGCTTCACTATCTTGGCCCTGTGCCTGTTTTATAGCAGTTCAATAGACTTCGTGCATTAAGTGCACCCTCCTGGAGACAAATTGAGTAGTGAAAACTATGACTCTATTGGCGGTGCACTCCGTGTGGCGTGTGCGGTTGCTATGAAAATATAGCGCTGTGGCAAGCAGTTAAAATAGGACCAGTTAGACATTCCAGAGTGATTTAATATAGCACAACGACAGTAAAGATGGCCATTGTAGTTATGGATGTTCCTTCTGAAATAACTCTCATTACTTTTACTTAATTTTTAATGTTATTCCTGCTGGCAGGTGTCCTTTTTATTTTAGTTTTTATTTGAATTCTGTTATTGAACCGCTTATCGCTGCTGCAAGTTTGATCTACTGGTTTTAGCAGACATTCGGCAAGGATTGTACTAAGCATACTTCCTTGACGAAATCTTTTTTTCAGATATGGTGTGCTTTTGTTATGGTATAATAAATAACAAGTTTTGGGTTATTACTGTTGCTCTTCATTTATTAACTGTATCCCTATGCCGTTCCTGAAACAGAATTCAGGCTTGTCAAAACGATGGCACCCTTGCTTGAAATGCACTTGTCATTATCGAAATTTTTCGGTGTTCATTAACTTTTTTCTGACCTGTCGTAGTATGGTTAGCTCATAGACATGCAATTTTGTACTTTGCTCTTCCAGGTGTTTCGTGGGCGTCAACCCTGATAGGGGAAATCGTCGAGAGAAGAAGAGGAAAACATGTGTCCACAAGAAAGTTCTCAGGCTCATCGCAGACATGGCGGAGTTTGAGTGGAGTTGCAAATAAAGCTAAGAAAATGTTTCCACTTTGACAATATATAATAAATTTCTGTGTTGCTCGCCTTTCTCCTTTTTAAATGATTTCGATAGGAAAAGAATATCAGATTCTGCATGGCCAGCAGGCCTCACCGCTCACACCTCCACACCACTAAATTGAAAGGACATATTTGATAGAAATTATTCTGAAGGCCGGTTCAGACACTTGCGTTTGAGTGCGTTTGACTGCGTTGCGGCGAGAACCAAAAGCGAATCACCGGCACATCTGTGCTTCGTATGAAGCCTGGAATCCAATTTACGGAATAATCTTGGCACGCGATATAAGTAGCAGGGAGCTGCTGGTTCCTCGCGGCCGCAACGCAGTCAAACGCAACTATCTGAATCAGGCTTTACTATGCATGCCTAAAGTAAAATCGTAATCAGTTTTGCAATACAGAACATATTGGCCTTAACTACGATGAATGGAAAACATGCAACAGAAATGACCCAGAATGCTCTGTAAATCTAAAACCGAGAACCGCGCTTCTCAAAAGTTTTTGTGTGAAAACTTAACCGTATGAAAATTTGGATGTATGTGACTCCGCTTTATTGCAGTTTACAAGGCATGACCGCGATATAAAAAGGTACCACAAAGGCCATAAAGCGCTTTGATTATAACGCAATTCAATGCAAAGGTGCAATCGAGCTGGACAAGAATGACGAAAATGATCCCTGGAGAAAGGGAACAAGAGGAACAAAGGACCAGGCGGATTTTTCGGTTGCGCAACAGCCACCTAGCTGTCTTCGGAGATTTCTGTTTATCCTATGTCCCTCTTGTTCCCCTTCTCCAAGAATTATTTTTGTCAATGAAGCGCACCGTAATTTTTACGGTACCTTTTACGGTACGGTACACAAAAGCGTACCGTAAATTTTACGGTACGCAGAGGGCCGTAAAATTCACTGCGCTGTGACTGCTGGATTTACGGTCGGCGCTAAAATTCACCGTAAGCTAAATGAACAGCCAACCGTAATTTTTGCGGTACATTCTTGAGAGACCGTTAATTATACGGTACATGTTTTAAACTGGGCTGTAAAATTAACAGCGCTCTGTCTGTTAACTTTACGGTCGCCGTTAAAAGGGCCCGTAAATTAAATTTACCGCCCTCCGTAATTTTTACGGTACAAGTTTGGCAGCATCAGCTGCCTGGTATTTGACCGTAAATTTTACGGTCCATTTTTTACAGTGTATCTAAAATCGGAAGCGTCGATACGACCAATGGCGTCACAAGGGGGGGGGGGCGGTCCGCCCCGGGTGCAGCGCTCCGGGGGGAGTCGCGACGGGCCACGACAGAGGAGGGGTGTGGGGGGTGGGGGGGGGGGGGCGTGTTCCGGCGAGCGACGAGCGGAGGGGAAGGGGATGTAGGCAGGCAACGAGCCGGGGGGGGGGGGGGTGGGGTGGGTGGGGGGGGGGGGGGGTCGCCGCTGGCCACCGCCCTGGGTGTCGCTGACCCTAGTGACGCCACTGGATGTGACCACGCCATTTTCACATGAAGCGGTACCACACCAACCGGTGACCAGAGGCCGGCATTTTAGGTCACCCTCACTCACCCTCACAGCCACACTCACCTAAGCCCCTCACTCACCCTCATCCTCACAGTCACACTCACCTTCAGCCCTTCACTCACCCTCAGGCCCTCACGCACTCATGGCCCTCACACCACTCACTGCACTTGTGCCCCTCACGTACTCATGGCCGTCACACCACTCACCGACCTCACGCACCTCACGCACACATGGCCCTCACGCCACTCACCGCCCTCACACACTCGTACCCCTCGCGCCCCTTACGGACTCATGGCCCTCACACCCGTCACGCACTCACCGCCCTCTCGGCCCTCACGCACTCTCACCCCTCACGGACCTCATGCCACTCACACACTCGCCGCCCTCAAGCCCCTCACGCACTCATGGCCCTCACACCCCTCACACACTCACCGCCCTCACGCATTCATGGCCCTTGCACTCCTCACGCCCCTCACGCACTCACCGCACTCACCGCCTAGTAGTTTTCTCAATTACTATTGCAAATGCGCAATTTCTACTATACTCCAATTACTTTTGGCGCCGATACTCAGTAACTTAACTTACCTACCTTTTTTGAGTAATTTGTACACGTCTGTCCTCTTTCCCGTTTTCGGGACTTGAAAAACGCCGGATTCCTTTGAGTGATTAACCGACAGCCAACAGAGCGTGTGAGTGGCTCTCTGGGCCCACGTGATGAGCAGAGCAAGGCCGCCGTGGAGGTAGCGAGGGGGAGATTTGACGGAGGGAGGTTTCCCCCGGCAAAGGAAAACGGCCAGAAGCGGAGCGCCGCACGATTTGTTGGAGTCGTGCGTTTTGCAGTATCCTGTTTGGACACCCCTTAATCAGGCGAGCTCTTCAGCACATGGCTTTAAATGAAGCGAAAAACGTCAACATTTTAACGATGAATATTACAAAGCTCGTTGTATTTTTTTAATTGCTTCAATTGAGTTAGGCTTTATTAACTGCTGCCTTCAAAACTGCAATTGCAGCATGGCCAACTAAACCGTTACTTAAAAAGTTAATTATTAAAGTTTGGTTAACCCTTCCCCTGCCACTCCTGAGATAACTCTGGGACCTTATTGCGCATACCCCCTGCCGTGCCCGTGTATACTTGTTCTGTTTTTTATGCTCACTTCTTGCCTTTCCGGAGGTAAGTGGTGTGAAAAAGTGACGCGGTGATGCGGCGCCATCTATGTAGAGGTCACCTAAATGCATAGAACTTGTAGGTTACAGTTTAGAAAAAAGGTGGGGCACACGTTTTTTCATCCGCTTCGTCGGCAGCACAGCCATGGCGAGTCAGTGTTGCATCTGCGTCCGCTCTTGGACGGATGACAGAAGTTATGGACTACTGAAATTTTTACCTCCGATGGAACCAGTAATGATGAAGCGGCTCATCTAAGTGGCTTTTTGAGTGATGATTCTAGAGAAGATCCCCCGCCATAGGTGGATCCGAGCGAGAAGAGTTAATGTCAGGAGTGAAATGTCTTTTGGAAGCATGATGGTCGTGATTGGAATAAAAAATAATCCGAGCCTCAGGCACATGCTTGTGATCTATATTAGACATACTGCAGAGAGTCAAAGCGCATTGCTAGCGTGAAAAGTCCGCTGAACCATTGCGCAAAAAGAAAAACCGGCAGGGTGTGAGGAATGATACTGAATGTAGTCATATCTATGGGGCAACTTCTTTACATGACCAGTTTCTCATGATCTACAGTGAGGCGTAAAATTAATAAAAAAATAGGCTGTTTACAGTATTTTTCCCCCTAGGAAAATTCCAGCAAATGTGAACCAACCATTGGTGCACAACTATACATGCTACATTCTTACATTAAATAGTGTGTTTGATTGCGGTTTATAAGTTCTCTATGCTTCTGTGCTGCTATACTGCCATGCGCCCAAAGCAGGAGGGGTTTCCTGGCTGTCAATCAAAAGAAATATTTGTTCTATGATGCCAAAACTTTTACGAGCCACCAGGGTCAATCATTTTTTTCTGTAGAGCCTCATTTGGCCGTAGGAAATTTATTTCTAAAGCTGTTCAGGTGCCACCATTCCAGGCTCTTGGAACATCATCACAACCCAAGTAGCACGGGGAGCCCGGCCGAAGGATGGCCATATCCCCATGGCCGAGCCATTTTTCATCGGCCATTGCCCGGCCACGGCCAAAGAGGTCGGTGCCGACCTCGTTATGGTCCCTCGGCATAAGAAAGGCCCACCTGCCCGGGCTTTGGGAGGGCCGGGCCCCATGGCCGAGCACCCCCGGCTCAGGCATCGGCTGAGCACCAATGGCCGGGCACCGGCAGAAGACTAAGGGCCAAAGGCGGTATTGGGTCGGCCACCGAGCTGGCATGGTGGCATTGGCAGAACACCAGTGGCCGAGGGCGGATTTGGGTCGGCCACCAACCTGAGATCGTGGCACCGGCAGAACACCAGTGGCCGAGGGTGGATTTGGGTCGGCCACCAAGATGATATCGTGGCACCGGCAAAACACCAGCTGCCAAGGGCGGATTTGGGTCGGCCACCGAGATGATATCGTGGCACCGGCAGAACACCAGTGGCCGAGGGCAGATTTGGGTCGGCCACAGAAATTATATTGATGGCACTGGCAAAACACCAGTGGCCGAGGGCGGATTTGGGTCGGCCACCGAGATGATATGATGGCACTGGCAAAACACCAGTGGCCGAGGGCGGATCTGGGTCGGCCACCGAGATGATATCGTGGCACTGGCAAAACACCAGTGGCCGAGGGCGGATTTGGGTCGGCCACAGAGATGATATCGTGGCACCAGGAGGACACCAGTGGCCGAGGGCTTTGGGTCGGCCACCGAGATGATATCGTGGCACCGGCAGGACGCCAGTGGCCGAGGGCAGCTTTTGGGTCGGCCACCGACCTGAGATCCTGGCACTTGCAGAACCCTAGTGGCCGAGGGCTGTTTTGGGTTGGCCACCGACCTGAGGTTGTGGTACCAGCAGAACGCCCTTGGCCGAGGGCGGCTTTCGGTTGGCCGCCGAGTTGACAGTGTGGCATCGGCAGGATGCCAGTGGCCGGCAATGGCATTGGGTCGACAGCCAAGCTGGTATGGTGTCCATAGAAAAAACTTGGCAAAGATGGTTAGGCCAATGACTCTCACTAGAAGCCACGCTCAAGGTCTGTTCATACTTGCAAGACGCAGTGGTTGCGTGACTGCATTTTGGTCACCGAGAGACGGTGATAATCGCAAAAGCGACTGGTTTGCAGTTGAAATCGCTCGCTTTTGCGACAAAAAAGCAGTCGCGCGACCACCAGAACTTGGAAGTGTGAATGCGCCTTTAGGGACTCCACTCCCCGAGTGTCTTGTGGCATCGCAAGAAGATTGAGTGAGACCGCTCTGCCATGAACCGCTTCAACGTTTCTGGACGACGGAAAGCTGTCCTTGAAATTCAAAGTAAAGCTCCAAATAATTTAAATAC